ATATATATAGATGTTATTGTCTATGATTAGGGTTCAATTTTTCCTTCAGTATTTTGCTGTCATCGACATATTTTCCGTTGTTAGGGTTGTATCCGAAAACAGATGGTGCTCCGATTATATCCTGCTCCAAGATGGCGATCCCCGCTCCATTACCTGCTCGTTGCCGCCCTTCTTGCACATCCCCTTTTCTGCTAGCGCTCTTCCTTCGACCATTCTATTGTTGTCGCAACTCCTGCAATTTTTATACTGTCACCACCCTTCCTACCCCCCTCCTGCTCACAATTGTCACTTCCTGTGTTGTTCTCCATATTTCCTTCCCCCCTTCCCCTACATGCTCGTTGTCGCCCCTTTCTGCTACCACTCCTCCTTACACCATCTATTGTTGCCGCAACTCCTGCACTTTTCACCCCCCCCCCCCCCCCCCCCCCCCCCCCTTCCCCCCACCTGCCACTTCCTGCATTGTTCCATTGTTGCCTCCACACCCCCCTGCACCACTCCAATATGTTGCCACATCTCCTAAGCCACCTCATCGTTGTTGCATCGGCCATCCTGCCTCACCTCAGCAAGATATTTATGTTGCGCCGTTACTTTATGTTTTTAATGTCTTGATTGTAATACTATTGTTTTTGGGTTGAATTCAGTATCATTTGGTATCAAAGATAGCATAACTTTAGTCATATCCTAGGATTTCTAGTTTTTTTACACACCTCCACCAAAAAAAAAATTCTATTCTCAAATAACCTTTTTCACTCCCACAAACCCAAACTCTAACTATGCTACCAAAGAGAAACATATTGGAACCTACCCGGGAAGAGATTCGTTGACTTCAGCAGAGGCTTATGGAGATTAAGGATGGGACCCAGGGAAAAATTACCTTCGACCGTGATATGGAGAGTCGAATAAGAGTAAGGATGATAATCTAAATCCCTTCCATAAGAAGGACTTCAATCGTGAAGAGGACAAATCACGACGCTCCATAAATCATTATGGGAAGAGGCAACGTATGGAGGACATAGAAATTTAGGAATAAAGGTGGATCTACCAGAGTTCTATGGAGATATGGATCTAGATGATTTCATCGAATGGTTGCAATCAGTTGAGAAAATCTTCGAGTACAAAGAAGTGTCAGAAGATAAGAAGGAGAAGCTTGCGGCTATCAAAGAAAAATAATGTCTCCATGTGATGGGAAAACTTGCAGAGAAAAAGAAAGAGGAAAGTGACAAGATTACTTGATGGAACAAGATGAGGAAGGAGGCGAAGAGAAAATACTTACCATTTCATTACCGTCGGGATATATTTCTCAAGTTCCACCACCTACAGTAGAGGGACTATCAATGGAAAAGTTCATGGCACAATTTGACCATCTTCATATGAAATGTGAGTTGATCAAGCCAAAGGAACATGTCATAATCCCGATATTTGTGGGGCCTAAAGCCAGCCTTCAACAACTTAATGCACCTACATCCCTATTGGTTATTGGGGGATGTCCGAACCTTAGCCTTGAAGGTGGAAAGGCAGCAGAGACAAAGCAGATAGCTGTCATTCAAACAACCACATACAGCTGCAACTACTAGTAAGGGCACACCTGGAGAAGTTGGAAAGACTGGACAAGTGAAAAGGCATATTTGAGTGGAAAGAAAACCGAAAAGATTATTTTTTTCGGTATAGTCTCTGTCAAGGGATGTTTTAGGTGTCATGGCTATGGCCACAGCCTCCAGCTGTCCCACGAGCCGAGTTGCTTCATTCACGGAGTTGAGCGTCGTCAGAGAAGTGGATGAGCAGGAAGCATAGGAGGACCCAGAGGATGAACATCAACTCCAAAGAGATGAGAGAGAGATGCCAGTCATGAGGGTTCTATAGACTGTGCTGAAGAAGGATCATTCATGGCTAAAACATAGTATTTATCGCACCAAGTGTAACATGAAAGGAAAGGTTTGCAACTTCATTATTGACAATAGAAGCTATGAGAATGTTGTCTCCACTCTGATGGTGACAAAATCGGGGTTGGCTACACAAAAGAACCCTCAATCCCACTCCTTTACCTGATTTAAAAGGGGAAATGCGATATGCGTGGTCCAACAGTGCTTGGTTGAGTTTTCCATTAGAGATCAATTATAAAAACAGGTGTAGTGTGATGTGGAATCTATGAACGTTTGTCGTATTTTGTTGGGGAGGCCATGACAGTTCAACCGCAAGAAACACAACTCAACGGGTTCAAGAACACTTGTTCATTCAATAAGGATGGAAGAGGCATAGTTCTTTTGCCAGTCAAGGACGCGAGGGGGTGGACATCACAGAGGAGATGATAGTCCCGAGAACCACCTTCATGCAGTCGTTACGAGAGGATCCAGTGGCAATGGCTTTATTCCTATAAGAGTGAATTGAGAAGGAGGTTGAGATACCGACACTCGTACAACCACTGCTATGTGACTTTCAGAACATCATGATCGAAGGCCTTCCCAAGAGATTGTCACCATTGAGGGATATTCAGCATGTCATATATTTCTTCCCTGGATCGGTGTTGCCAAATCAGCCTACATACAGATTGAGAGAGAGAGTACCAACACATGAGATGTCCCCGCATTGATAGTACCCAAGAAGGAAGGATCGTGGAGGATGTGTATTGATGGTTGGGTCATCAACAAAATCACTATCAAATACAAGTTCCCCATACCTCGCATGGACGACATTTTCGATCAGTTGCATGGAGTCATTGTCCTCTCCAGAATAGACTTACGCAATGTGTATCACCAGATCCAGATGAGGCCAGAGCATGAGTGAAAGGTCGCTTCAACACCTGGGATGAATTCTATGAGTGGATGGTCATGTCATTCGAATTGTTTAATGCACCTAGCACATTCGTGAGATTGATGAATAAGTGCTCCAGGCTCACAAAAAGAAGTTTGTAGTGTACTTCGATGATATTATGGTATTCAATAGATCCGAGGAGGAGCACTTACAACACCTGAGGATAGTCTATGAGGTTCTGAGGTCTGAGAAAC